TGGTGTCTTAAACTCATTTCACAGATATACAAATAAAGGAATAGCAGTTTTAATTTATTCCAGTAATGGAGTAAGCTTAGATTAAAAATCCTGTCTTTTACAGCAGTCTTCTTTTCTATCTACCTTTTTTTTTTTTTTTTTTTTTTGGTTCTTCGAGACAGGGTTTCTCTGTGTAGCTTTGTGCCTTTCCTGGAACTCACTCTGTAGCCCAGGCTGGACTCGAACTCACAGAGATCCACCTGCCTCTGCCTCCTGAGTGCTGGGATTAAAGGCGTGCGTCACCACTGCTCTGCTTCTATCTACTATTAAATGTGACAATTTTTCAAATTTATAATTGACAGTTTAACTTTTGACCACACTCACTATTTTTCTGTATTATTGAATATATATATATTCAATATATATATATATATAAAATTTGTTCTTTCAGTTATGTGAATGTGTGTGGATTATATGAAGTGAGTGCAGATGCCCACAAAAGACATAAAAGCCAGTCAGATCTGGAACTGGAATTACTGTGGTTGGGAGCTGCCAGATGTGGGTACTGGGAACTACACTTCAGTTCTCTGTAAAATGAGGAACAGCTCTTAACCACTGAACTATCTCTTCAGTCCCTGTGGTGGTTTGAATAAGAATGGCCCCCACAGACTCAAGTGTTTGAATGCTTGGCCCACAGGGAGTGACACCATTAGGCGGAATGGCCTTGTTGGAGGAAGTGTGTCACTGTGGGAGAGGGTTTTGAGGTCTCATAGGCTCCAGCTATGCCCAGTGTAATACACAGTCTCCTTCTGCTGTCTGTGGATCAAGATGTAGAACTCTCAGCTCCTTCTCTAAGACCATGTCTACCAGCACACCACCATGTCCCGCCAGGATGATAATGTACTAAACCTGTGAAATTTTAAGTCACCCAATTAAATGTTTTTCTTTATAAGAGTTGCCAGGGTCATGGTGTCTCTTCACAGCAACAGAAACACTAAAATAGTCCCCACCTCGAGTATTTTAAGTGTAAATTAAGTGATTATGATACACAAACAAGTTATAATGTTTAAGGCAGGCATGATTGGTACTAAATAATGTCTTTACGCTCAATCCTTAGCTCAATAATGGCATTCTAAGAATCAGAAAGCCCTGCTTGATTATGTTAGGGGTAGTAACCGAGTATAAATATCAGCCAGTGTTAACTACAAACAGCTCCTGCTAGAGATGATATATACTTCAATAAACACCAAACAAAACAAAAACAAATAAACAAAAATAAAAAAAATTAAAAACAGAAGAATCTTGTCATGGAAGCTGTAGTGTGGCCCCTTAAGTCACACAGTTTACCCTTCAGTCCTTTCATTTTCACTTGCAAGTGTTCATTGCCATGAGTCATTGGCCTGGTTCAAGGCCTCTGGCTTCCACTACACCATAGATAACAGGTTCTAACTAGAGTTCCTCTTGGATATCCTGTTGTTGTCCTGTGTCTTGGAGATCCTGTTGTTTTGGATCTGTAGGTTCATCCCCTTCACATGCTCCAACAGTTCATAGATGAGGTGGATGTTGGGGTAGGCCAACTCATGCCCTGGTTCTGGACCTAGTTGTAGCTGGGTTGGTCAGCTCCATAGCTGCTTTCGCTCATCCTCACTACCAGGCAAGCTCTCCAGCTCTGCCTTGGCTCGCTAACCCAATGCAGCCTACAGCAAGGAGCGGCACCAGTTCTCCTTCTCCTGGGCCCTCAGATCCGGGTCCCCCTCACTCATACCGCCAGGGCCAGATCTACTGTTTTTCCCAGGCAAGGTCCGGGGCCCCTCACTGGATACTGCAGTGGGCCTTACCCCTCAGGAATGTTCACTGATGCACCCTATGGCCCCACCCCTCACCATAGGTGTGTACCTCACCTAGGAAACATGCTAGAGCCATCCCAGGGCCAGTGAAGGGTGGGGCTGGCTCAGCACAGCATGGTTCCAATGGCTGCCAGGAGCCATGGACATCACCACAGACCCCAGGTGCAGCAGGACCACAGACCCAGACATGGCCCTTGGCAGCAGCTTGAACCCAGACACCACCATGGCCTGAGAGGCAGCAGCATAGGCCACCCAGATCAGCATGGCCCAGGGTAGGACATGGTCCTTGAACACCGACGAGGTCTGGGGTGGCTGGTCATCTGCACGGCCCTCCGTGACAACAGGAGCCCTGCATGTCTACTCAAGACCCTGGCTGCTGTAGAACCATTGACCTAGTCCTGGCTCTCTGTAGCAGTCCTATCCCAGATGACACCATTGCCCAGGGGTTACAGCACAAGCTACTCAGATCAGGATGTCCCTGGTGGCACCCCGGCCTTCAGATGCCCTCAGGCCACAGGTTTCGACCCAGACCCCACGTTATCATGTGGCCTTTGGTGGTAACATGGGCCACAGATGTCTGTATAGTCCCTTGGCTGTGGTAGGACCAGACCCAAAATGGTAAATAGCTGTTCTGTTGCACTTCTGAATAAATACAAATATATGAATATAGGTTCTAAGTTAAATTTTCCACTTTGAATAAAAATTTTAAAATAGAGCCCTAATAAAATTTTTCTTCAGTCCAATTGTCCTCATCAAATTTTTCAAATAAGAATTTAAAACCCTCAAATCAAAAAATCATATGATTTAAAAAAAAAAAAAAAAAGGGCCGGGCGGTGGTGGCGCACGCCTTTAATCCCAGCACTCGGGAGGCAGAGGCAGGCGGATCTCTGTGAGTTCGAGGCCAGCCTGGTCTCCAAAGCGAGTACCAGGAAAGGCGCAAAGCTACACAGAGAAACCCTGTCTCGAAAAACCAAAAAAAAAAAAAAAAAAAAAAAAAATGGTAAGATCTTTGAAGATGGGTAGTGTTCAAAAAGGCCTTGTTGAACAAACACAAGGACTACCGTTTGGACTTGGCTCCTCAGAATTCTTGTAAAAACCTAGCAGGTATGGTAACCACTTGCAATTCCAATATTTGACAGGAAATGACAGAGGACCTGTGGGGCAAGCTAGCTAACTAGACTGAAAGGAATTGGTGAGCTCTATTTACAACACAAAACATCAAATTTAAGGTGGAGCCGGGCGGTGGTGGCACACGCCTTTAATCCTAGCACTTTCGAGGCAGAGCCAGGCAGATCTCTCTGAGTTCAAGGCCAGCCTGGTCTACAGAGGTCCAGGACAGGCACCAAAACTACTCGGAGAAACCCTGTCTCGAAAAACAAACAAAAAAATTTAAGGTGGAATACCCAAGGCAGACTTCTCATTTTAATATGTGCATATTATGTGTGGTAAACATACAGGCACATACCCATATGTGCACAAAGTCCTCACCCTAAACCTTCTGACACCCACCCACCAGTTTTTAACTCAATGTCAAACCTTTTGTTTTCATATCTACTAGTATTTTAGATTTCTTTTGTGCTGGGGAACAATCCAAAGCCTTGCATATTTCTGCACTATCAATGACCTATATTCCTTGTCCTATTTCCACAAGTCTATATGCATATACATTACTACTAATCTTGAGAACAGACAAAACCAAACAAAAAAATAACTTATCCATAACTCTCTCCTTATACATGTATTAAAGGTGGAGTTCCAAGTCTCAAGATTCTTTTTAACATGTTTGAGAGTTTTGAAACTAAAAAGAAGGCTGAACAGCAAAGACCCAAAAAATATTATGGCTATAGCAACATATAGCTAAGCAAGGGCTTGATAGCTTGTATCATTTTGTATTTTTAAGGCAATTTTGGTTCTTAAGAGTGTCAAAATTTAAAAAGGACTGCACAAGAGTAAAAGTATCCGGTTAAAGTTTACCTTTATTAACTGCATATGATGTAATTTCCTAGACAGTTTCAAGAGTTCTCAGAGCATTAAGTGAAACATCAGGTAAATACTTATGTTGGAGAGCCTTTTTAATGAATTCATGTAATTGGTTGAGAACTATCTATAACATGAAGATTGTCATTGTTTAAAAATAGGAACCAAGTATAAAAACACACAAGTAACTTACAGGGACATGTCAGATGCAGTAACTTTTGACTGGGGAAGAATTTATACAAATGCAAAATAATTAGCAATGTACGCATGCAATTTAGTTCCCCTTTTTCTGCTACCTTTAATATGTTGCCTTTGAAAATGTGTCATTAGTAGAGAGGAAAGCCGAAGGCCTCATTTCCAGGATCAAGATTCAGAAATCTCAAAGAACAGGTACGGCAACAACAAACTAAACAGTATAAACCCGGTAATTTTAAGTTATATCGTTTCTAAAATAGAATAGAAACTACCCGTGCGATCAATGTAACTCTAATACAGGGCAAACAGCAACAGATTACAAACGCTCTCCCAGGCCCCCTCAGAGCAGATGGCTGATTTAGTGTCATTTTCTCTTCTTTGTTGATTCTACCGGGACCCAAACACAAGCAGTATGAACTCTGTTGTCACCTATAACCTTTCTGTGATGAAGAAAAGATTGGATCGTTATCTCCTGAGTGCAGAACAATGTAAGGCTTGTCTAGAAAATCTTTTTTTTTTCAGTATACCCAACTGTTCTAAGATTGATAACCTAGGGCTACAGGTAATTCTAAAAATAATATTGACATATTTATAGCAAAACAATCAAACTTAGAAATAGGCTAGTTTTAAAGAGGATACACTTGAAATATAACTTTCATATTTAGAAATATAATTTTCATGTTTAGCTTTCTAGAAATCAGTTTTCTTCACACACATCTTCCAATTCCTCTAGCACTCCTAATCCAAGATAATAGTATCCTTTATGCCCTCAGTAACCAAAATGTTTGCCTTACTGCAGTATACTCCAAAAACTTTTAAAGTAGATAGCTCAAAATAGCAAATGTGTTCTCAAAACTGCAGTTTTCTGATTCCTTAAACAAGGCAGGTATTTTCCACTGTAACGTTCTGTCAGATGCAAACTAACCTTCCATGCGCTATAAACAGAATTAACGTTTTCAAACTATAACCGTCCTTGGTGCTTCTTTTCCGGCGGCAAAGTCCTCAGGAATGCAGGGCCCGCCACTTGTCCAGGGGACCACGTTCAGGGATGTATTTGACTCCGCAGCCATCGGGGATGAGGCGCTTGGCCGCCACCTTGTCTTCAAACTCATCCGCGTTGAACTTGGTGAAGCCCCACTTCTTGGAGATGTGTATTTTCTGGCGGCCCGGGAACTTGAACTTGGCTCGGCGCAGGGCCTCGATCACGTGCTCCTTGTTCTGCAGCTTGGTGCGGATGGACATGATGACTTGGCCGATGTGGACCCTCGCCACGGTGCCTTGCGGCTTCCCAAAGGCGCCTCGCATGCCGGTCTGGAGCCTGTCGGCGCCCGCGCACGACAGCATCTTGTTGATGCGGATGACGTGGAAGGGGTGCAGCCGCACTCGGATGTGGAAGCCGTCCTTGCCACAGCTCTTGACCATGTACTTGTTGGCGCAGATGCGAGCGGCCTCCAGGGCTTCCGACGACAGCTGCTCGTACTCGTCCGACACCATGTGGCCACAGAGCGGGAACTCGTCCACCTTCGCCTTCTTCCGACCCAGGTCAAAGATGCGGATCTTCGCATCGGGGACCCCTCGGCAGAAACGGGACTTGGGGTACGGCTTGTTCTTACAGTACCGGTAACAGCGAGCGGGGCGGCGACCCATGGCGACAGCGGGAGCCCCAGCCGCGCGCGTCCACCGCCAGCAGCAAAATGGAGGCCGCGGCTCTAGCTGTTACCCATGGAGCCTTGCGAGAACCATAGAGGTCTGAGGAGGACTTGAAGATAGACCATTCCCGCCCAGCCTCCGGGTCACTCTGAGCCTGCGCAGGCCTCAGTGGGCGTGGTTTGGGTGGAGTACTCAAGGGCTTTCTTCAGGTCAATGAAAGCAAGGGGCCAACATCAGAGCAGCAGGGTGTCCGCCTCGCCCCTGTTGATCTCCTTGGATTTGCAAGTTTGACTTTGCAGTAGGTTAAAACAAAAGTCTCCTACACTTAAAAACCTGCCTCCGGTTACTTGACATGTCCGGTTGGTTTGCAGTTTGGCTAAATAATAATAGACCTTCCAGAGCTTGTATCTCCCTGAGCTTTGTAGATCAGTTCTTTTTTGGTTTTGGTTTGGTTTTTTTTGAGACAGGGTTTCTCTGTGTAGTTTTGATGCCTTTCCTGGAACTTACTCTGTAGCCCAGGCTGGCCTCGAACTCAAAGAGATCTGCCTGCCTCTGCCTCCCGAGTGCTGGGATTAAAGGTGTGCGCCGCCGCCGCCCGGCTGTTTTTGTTTTTGTTTGTTTGTTTTTGTTTTTTGAAAAGTAGAGCAGCAGTTTCCTGCTTCATCAGCGTGTATGGCTTGGCATGAGTGCTCTGATAAGGCCCAGAAGTGAGAGCTTTGTGGAAGGGTGATGAGGATGTCGTTTTTTTACAGCTCATATGGTAGTTGCTTTAAAATAGGAAATTTACTTGGCCTAAGGAAATGATTTTTTTTTTCTCAAAATGGTATCTAAAAATTGACTGAAATGCCGACTGAATGTTTTAACTTAACGTTATTGGTGTTTTCTAATGTTAAAATGACAACAAGCAGCCGGCGCGGTGGTGGCGCACGCCTTTAATCCCAGCACTCAGGAGGCAGAGGCAGGAGGATCTCTGAAGTTCGAGGCCAGCCTGGGCTACAGAGTGAGTTCCAGGAAAGGCGCCAAAACTACACAGAGAAACCCTGTCTCGAAAAACAAAAACAAAAACAAAACAAAACAAACAAAAAGACTACAAGCTGTAAAGAATATGTTCTAAACAATCTTTTCATTTAACGGATAATGAGTTTCCTCTATTTGATCCTGATGTTTGGTTTTTGTAAGATTATTGAGACATGGACCAGAAGGTAGTAGAGAAAGAAAAGTCACAATTTATAAACAAAGTTTGCACTTTTTTCAGTTTTTTTTTATTATTTTATTTATTATTTATCCTTTATGTTATTTCACAATCCCATTATCTTCTGGAACAAAGCCCTCCAAGTATGAATTTATCCTGATAGTCCTTTTTTTTTTTTAATAGAGAAGAACAAATACTCTATATAGTAACTCTTGTCATGTAAAGATTTAGCGAATACCCGTTAGGATTCAATTAAAACTTGAAGTATACAGAATTTTCCCACAGAAGTCTGAAATTCTTACTTTTATGATGATTAACATTACTTTTAGTGTTTAGACTTGAGAGACCAAAGAGCAAAAAAATACCTGTAGGTCTAAGCCCCTAACTTGTACAGGTTGTATCATAGCAGCCCACTTCCTTTTTTTCCTAAATGGTGAAGACTGTTCGTAAATTGACTGATCTTGTAAAATTTGCTAGAACACAAGATAGCAGGTCATAAGACTAACTGCTGTTTCTGCTTTTGTAATCAAATTTGCTTGCTCATAAAGATGACTAGGGCAACTATAATTATATATGCATTAAAATTAGACCCTACCTACATATAGACAGAATAAATGCATATAATCTTGTGGGTTTTGCCTTTATAAGCCCTGGGCTGATATGGCTAGGGGCTGCATCTTGGGAGCACTTTCGGGTGTAGTCCTGGCTCCACATTGGATAACAATACCTAAATAAAAAGCCTCTTCTTATTAAAATTTATTTATGGTCATGGTGAATCTCTGAGTGACTCCAGACTTACACTTTGATTCCTCTTTCAGTCAGGCGGTCCAGGACTCTTTACTATGTTCTTGGGTGATAAAACGGTATGCTGTCTCCACCCTGGGCTTACAGAAAGAGAGGAGTTAAATGGTACTCAGTGTATCATTGTGTGCAAAAGAGGAAAAGAAAATGACCCCTAAGATGCTGTATGGAGTCCTGATCTAGACAGAGGAATTGTCAGAGAAGACCAATCATAAGTTCTACATAGTAACAGTAAATGGGATCCTACATATGAGAAGACCCTGAGTACCAGGAACAGGAACTCTTTAAACTAAAATAAGGCTGCTGTAATTGATAAGGAGCTTCACATATCACAACTCAACCATCTTACGGGTTAGGAGGCCTGGTTAGCATGAGACTATTGAAGAGCTTTCCACAAGTGTTCTCATTGACTAGAGTATGATGAATAGACCTGGCCGATCAAAAATGTATGTAAGGACATAAGAAGAATATACTTTGTAATACTGAAAAAAAAAAAGAGAGAGAGAGAGATAACCGGGGCATGATTTAGTATGTTTTACCTTATGAATGTGTACGGTGTACCCAGTATCTATCATAAACTCAGGGAAGAGAGGAATTACTTCATTTATACATTTCTGAGGTAAAAGTAAAATGACTGATCAGAGTCCATGTGTTATTAGGTACTTCTACCTGTCCTCACCTTGCCTGTGTTTCCAAAATTATAGAATTTTCTTAACAGAATGTGTTGTCACCATCAGGCCTACGTAATAAACTTCTTCAAAATTCCAAAAAGTCACCAACCCTGGGGTGTTTGGCTTGTACTAGTTCTAGCATTTGAAGTTTTAGGTCATGCAAAACACTAGGAGGGGTCCTTTCTTCACCGTACTCATGCACATAGTCTCTTCATAGCTATAAGACTGAGTCAGAAGGTGGAGAGACAAAGTGGGGGCCAGGCTGACATCCTTCATGTATACTCTTTTTGCTTAGCCTTAGAAATATTAGAGGAGAGCCCATGAGAAATCTATAAACCAAGGAATTCTCTCAATTCTAGAGTTTTGGGGTGTTACCTACCCTGCCACCATAGTACTGTCATCAACAGTGTGTATTATGTTAAGCCAAAAACCAAAATAGCCAAAACACACACACACACACACACACACACACACACACACACACACACACACACACACACACACAAAATAAATAAATAAATAAAACATAAAATGTACCTTGAAGTAGATTGAAGTAAATATGGGCTACACAGAAGGAGAAATTTGAGGCTATTATTTGAATTTTTTTTTTTTTGAGGGGGCATTCGAGACAGAGTTTCTCTGTGTACTGTCCTGGAACTCGCTCTGTAACCCAGGCTGGCCTCGAACTCAAAGATCCCCCTGCCTCTGCCTCCCAAGTGCTGAGATTAAAGCCATGTACCACCACTGCCCGGTGAAATTCTTATTTTAATAGATGCAGAAAAAGTTTAAGAAACAAAGACATTAGTGCCATGGAAATAAAAATGGACTAGGGAGATGGTTCTGTGGGGAAAGTGCTTGCTCACTGACCCAGCCCAGCTTTATCGGGATTCTGAACAGGGTCCCAGGGGGAGGACCAGAAATGTAAAAGAAAGAAAAACAGTTATATCAAGCCATGTGAGAGGCCTCATGGGAGGTATGAGTTGCCAAAAAATATTGAATTCTTACTAAATGTCCAGATGGATAGATAGATCCTTCCATCTGACCGGGTGAGCTATTGGGGGGTCAGCAATATAGGCCAGTTCCCCGCTTCCATCGCTGGGGCAGTAATAGTGCTGATGGCCAGAAAAGGGGGTGTAGGGGAGTATACATTTTTAGTTATCTTAACCATGATGGTTCCCCTAACTGTACGCAATTTAATCTGACTCCAAGTTCACAGTAGGCCTTTCAGGTGTTCTCTGGTGGTCTCTCAGAGGCTCTCCCAAGCACAGCCTTCTCACCTGTAGACTGAACTGGAACGGGTGGCACCTCTTTTTTTTGCTGTGGAACCCACCGTGGCCCATCAGCTGCCCATCCTATTGGTCCTGAGTGTTCTGTCCGGAACCTGCCACTTTCCTGTGACCTGGTCTCTCCACAGTATTTCCCTTCTGCACCTGCCCAGCCTCTTGCCTGCTGTTCACCCTTGATTGTTCTGTTTGTTACTTTACATCCTGGAGGCAGTTTCCCCTCCCACCTCTTCTCCCAGCCCTCAATCCACTCCTCCTGTTTCTGTTCCGGAAAAGGCAGGGTTTTTTTTGTTGATGGACATCAACAAAACATGACATATCAAGTTGCCTGCCATAAGACTCCCCTCATATTCAGCAAGGTGACCCAGAATGAGGAATAGGGTCCCCAAAGCCAGTAAAACAGTAAGAGTCAGCTGCTCCCACTATTAGGAGTCCCACAAGAGGACCCAGCTACCCATCTGTCACATATATGCAGAGGGCCTAGGTCAGTTTCATGCAGGCTTCCTGGTTGCCGGTTCAGTCTCTGTGAGCCCAGGTTTGTAGAGTCCTGGGTGTTCTTGTGGTGTCCTAGACCCCTCTGGCTCCTACAATCTTTTCTTCCTCTCTTCCATAGGATTCCTCAAGCTCTGCCTAATGTTTGGCTGTGGGTCTGTATCTGTTTCCAAATGACCCCTCTTTAAAACATTTAGGGAAAACATAGCATGATTAAGAAGATTATGTGAGCTGGGTGGTGGTGGCCCCATGCCTTTAATCCCAGCTTGCCGGAGGCAGAGGCAGGTGGATCTCTGTGATTACAAAGCCAGCCTATTTTACAGGGCGAGTTCCAGGACAGCCAAGGCTACACAGAGAAACCCTGTCTCACACAAAACAAAAAACAAAACAAAACAGAGAGAGAGAGAGAAAGAGAAAGAAATAAAAGAAAAGAAAGAAAGAAGGTTGTATGTGGAGTTAGAGGATAAAGGGAAGCAACCCCCCCCCTCATTTTTTTTTTTTTCACCGAGAATGTTTTATAAAACTGTTTTCAGTTACACCATTCAGGTGTGTTCAACT